TAAGGTTTATTAAAAATGTAATATCTTTATCAAAATTAAAGATAGAATAATAAAATTTAAGTATATTATATATAAAAAGAATATCTTTAATTCTATTCAATAAATGGGGGGGTCAAGCTTAAATAAATTTTAAGAAAACTCAAAAAAAACCTTTTAAAAATAATTTTAGCAGGCAAATTTGCCTGCTAGATGGTTTAAGGGATAAAGAGTAAAATGAGATCTATGAAGATAAGACTGAAAGTACAAAACTGCCCATACTATAGCAAGACACTCTTTTTCGGTGACTGCATAATTCTTCTTAGCAGAAGTTAAAGAGCAGCTAGTATATACTACTTTTTTCTTATTCTCCGTATCTAGCTGAAAAAGAATAGCCCTTAAGGCTATATCAGAAGCATCCGTAAAAAGGATAAATGGTTTTGCGAAATCCAGGTAGGCCAAAATAGAGGCAGTTATTAGCTTATTTTTAAGCTCCTCAAAGGCCTCTTGTTGTAAAATAGTCTATTTATATAATACGTTTTTCTTCAATAAAGTATTTAAAGGTCCCATGATATCTGTAAAGCCAGGTACAAACTGCCAGTAATATGAGACTAACCTAAAAATCCTCTTAGCTGTCTCAGATTTTTAGAAATGTGAAATCCTTTGATGGCTTGAACTTTTTCTGGGTTCATCAAAATCCCTTGAGCACTTACAACATACCCTAAAAATTTAAGTTTTCTTTTACAAAGAAAATACTTCTTGGGCTTAATTTTTAAATTTGCCATCCTTAGTTATTCAAAAATTTCTTTCAGGTGATCCAGGTATTCTTCAAATGACTTGGAGTAAATATTTAAATCATCGAGGTAAACCACGACATATTTTCCAATAATGTCTCCAAAAATCTGGTCTATCAATCTCTGGAAAGTGGCCAGAGCATTAGTAAGACCAAAAGGCATAACATTAAATTTGAAAATGCCTTGAGGAGTTATAAAAGTAGTTTTAGACTTGTCTTCTTCCAGCATCTCAACTTGCCAATATCTACTAGCAAGATCCAGTGTAGTAAACCATGACAACCTGTTTAAAGAGTCCAGAAGTTCATCTACACTTGGTAAAGGATAGTTATCCTTAATAGTGACAGCATTTAGTTTTCGATAGTCAATATAGAGTCGCATTTTTCATGCTTCTGTTTGACTAACACTACTAGGGACATCTATGGGCTATTAGAAGGTCTTATAATATTTTCTGCTAACATAGTCTTTATCTCTTCTTTTAAAAAATCTTTTTTCACTAGAGAGTAATGATATAGGCGTTGCTTAATTGGCCAAACATCTTAGATAGGTATTTTATGCCAGATAGTATTGTTTCTTCCTAATTCATGGAGACTTTAAGTACTAAGGACTTCATATTGGTCTATTAGTAAGCAAAGTTAATTATGCTGGGCCATTTCTGAGTCACCTATATTGTATTCTATACCTATCTGAACCTCATTTTCATAATAATAGTCAAAGAGATCAGATTTTGAAAAAATTTCTTCACAATGATGGTATAGAGTTACTAGCCACAATCCCAGGAATTCTTTCTTCATTCTTATTTTCTAGTATTATAGTTTTATCTTCTATTCTTCATAATAATTTCCCATTATTATAATCTTCTTATCCACATGGTTTGTTTTCTTTTTCCTGATATAACTTATCCTCAATTACTTTTTCTGATTCAATTTCGAAATATGCAAAAATTCTTTCCTTTAGTTCTTCTTTCTCATATTCATCTGAATTATCATATTTTTCTTTACTCCCTATTTCTTTAATGATAACAGATCATTCTTCTTTTATAGATGTCCTTAACATTTTTCTAAATTTTACAGGATTATTATTTTCTTATCATTTCACAAAATAGTCACTGCAGATTGATTCTAGTCAATAGAAGCATTGGCCTTCGCAAGCTAGTCATTTCCAATAATAGCACTATATATAGTTGCATTGGTCACAATAATGTCTATTAGAATCTTAACTCCACTGACACAGAAAGGAAAATCTGAAATCTCTCTTATAGCCCTTTTGCTTTCTTCATGTATGTTGACCATGCTTACTACAGATAGTCTTTTGACTTTAATTCCTAATTGGTACAACAAGGTAGATATAGCGACACTTCCTGAAGACCCACTACTCACTATTAGTGGAATCTTCTTCCCTAAAACTGTGGTATTACAATATAAAGCCATAGACTTAGATGTAGATTGGATGTTGACATTTACCTAGGCCTTCTTCCGAACTACAGCTCTTTTCTTTTGCAAAGAGCAAGTTAAATCTTGTCTCATATTTTGGGAAGGCCCTTAGTAATTGTTTATATATAATATTTGCTGGTTTGTCCCTTATATTAGCTACTATAAAATAAGAAGAAACTAATGAAGAAATTTGAGGCAATTCTTCTTCTATAACTTTCTGCCTCACTATTGTGGTTCTTTTTGCCTTCTCTACCAGAATTTCTTGTAGAGTTAACTTCGGTCTCTTTTGTTTTTCTAGTTTCTGTAATTCTTGGGCCTCATCAGCTTGGGTCATTTCTTCGTCGATAGGTAATACATCTTCAGTTTCTACTAATCCAACTGAAGGATGCTGAGTTGGTATATTCTTCTTTTTATGAAGAAGTGGGGTATTTACAATAGGTTTAGAGCGCTTGTATAGATCAGCCGGTAAGAATAAAGATTTATGACCTTCTGGTATTCCCAAAAAGGAAGGTTGGTCTATCGAGTTATTAGAATGGTTAGGGTTATTATTTATTAAGGCCAATAGGGCTTGAAAAGTGTCTTGGAAGCTAATACTTAGTGTTCCTATTGAACCTAGGTTCAAAGTTCATGAACATGTTCAAAGTTTTGAATAAAGAAAAAAGCATAT